CTCCCCCCTCCCCCCTGCCCCCCCTCCCCTTCCCCAAATCCCATGAAAAAAAATTGCAGATCAATATTTTCTCTGCGGATTCGGGGAGATCTCGGCAAGCGCAGTCCAAAACCCCATCATAAAAAAATAATAAATAAATAAAAATCGACCCGATTTTGGGCCCAACCGGATTTCCGGTCGGACCACCGGGGTTCCAACCGKCCCGGTTGGGTCCGGTCCGGTCCAACCGGCCGGTGGCCGGTGCAGCCCTGGAGCAAACAGATTAACGGGGCACCGTTTTTTTTCCGAAAAGTTCAGAGTTCTTGGACTGCAACTATGTAGGTCATTTCACACAATGCAAAACAGGAGTCAATGACTCTCAAAGAAAATGCTCACGGTGAAAGAAAGAAAAAGTACGGCGGTGTAACAGGACATCTAGCAATCAGTCTAACATAATAAAATCCTTCTGAATTACCAGAATGGGCAGTTCAAAGATGGTATCTCAAGGCAGCTGCCCTTCAGAAAACTGGGGGGGGAAATGGAAAGAGCAGCTGCGCATTGGAGCCTGAGCGGTAGGCTCAGGGCATACTCAAGTGACCACTTTCTTGGAGGCATCTGACCTCTTTTGCTGCCCGACGTTCCACAGGTGAGTTGAAAAGGTCCCATGGGGACTTTCCTGGACTCATCTGGCTTTTTTTATGGCCTGGCGTGGATGCACCTGACTGGAATTACGACCACATTTAAGTTGAAGTCCCGGTGTTAGTATAGGCCTTGCTGCAGTGCTCACCTAATATGCAAAATGAGAATGAATCTTTCACTAAAAGCTGCGAAGTTGCTCTGCCGTAACTTTTTCGTCTGCGAATTTGGTGAGAAGTGTGGGGAGGCACTATGCCCAGGGATAACAAATGGGCAAACTGAACCCCTAGATGGGCAGCGTGCCCTTTTCTCTTGGTAAGTAGTAATCAGTATGCTGCTCTGCTCTCCACGCTACTCTCTACTTTCTGCTCTACTGTACTATACTGTACTCTCTACTCCCAACTCTACACCATTCTCTACTTTGAACTCGCTCTATTCTCTACTTCGAACTCTACGCCACTGTCTATTCTCTACTCTTGACTCTATGCTACTCTCTACTCTCTGCTCTGTCCTCTGCTCTCCGATGTGCTCCCTACGCTCTGCACTCTATTCTGTTCTCTGCGCTACTCACTGCTCTCTACTGTGTTCTCTGCTCTGCTCTCCATGCTCTACTCTCTGCTATACTCTCTACTCTACTCTACACTACTCTACTGTACTCTATTCTACTCGCTCTACTCTGCTCTCTACCTTACGCTACTCTCTAGACTACTCTATACTTTCTTTTCTACCCTATGTTACTCTCTACTCTCTACTCTCTACTCAACTCTACATTAAACTCTCCACTTCACACTACTCTGTACTCTCTACACTACAGTACTCTCTGCTGTGCCGCTCTCTCTTCTCTACTCTACCTACTATCTACTCTACTCTATGCTACTCTGTACGCTGTACTCTTCATCACTCGACACTTAACTCGGCTTTTTTCTCTACTAGCTACTTTTGCGAGGAACGAGCCCTCACGGGTTCCTTATCAGACAAACACATGTTCTGGGAAGAGGGGCCCAGCAAGCTGAGCGCCCGCCCTAAGCGAAGGCAGGCCTGAATATTCATCAGAGGCCAAAACTCGACATTTTCATATATGGGTACTCAGGCTGTTGCAGCCCGCACGCGAGCCTCCCTAAGCAGCGTCGTACAGTTGGCCCAGGCCTTGGCAGTTGCGCCTGGGCACATACACACGAAGCAGGGCCGATACATCATGAAGTGGCCACAGGCCTATGCAAAAGCAGTACTGTCGACGTACCTACTCCGGGGTCCTGTGCAAATGCAGCAAACGGCCCAAGTCTGGAGACTCAGGCCGTGCCCAACTGTAAAGGGCCAATGCCCTCAACTGTAGTCTCGGGCCTGGGCACAGGAACTGGGGACCAACAGGAAGCTACTGGAAGCTTCGAGCCAGGCCACACGCAGCAACGCAGGGGCTGCCACTTCCATATAGGAAGGAGAGCAGCCAGGGCCGGGGTATTCTGGCCTGCGTAGGCAATGCGGTCACGCTGCTGCGCTGCTGCGTTAGAGACTGCATGCTGCGTTCAGCCCAGAGTGCGTGCGGGCGCATGAGTGGTGAAGTGGGGCGCTGCAGGCAGCGGAGCGCTAGCAGCCATAGCCGGGCTGCAGGGCGCTAGGGGGTAAGAGGGCGATCAGTGGTCTTCAGGAAGGAGGCGAGTGTGGGTGGACAGGGTCTGATGAGGGGAAGCGAGATACGTACCTGGTACATGTAAGAGGTCGGCTATGGTGTTGACATCATGGACATTGGTCTTCGAGAGTCGAAGTGAGCCTGCTGCGAGAATGCTGATGTAGGTAGGATAGTTAGGTAGTGTAGGCTGGGCGCCAGACAGAGAGGAGCGACTTTGGATACTGTGTTGTTGTGGGCTGAGGGCTTGGACATTGGCTCATTACTTCATTGTATTGCTCTTATTTGGATGGGATATCGGTGCATTTGTGCTCTCTGCTTGTACACGACTACCTGGACATCTGTGTGATTTCGCAACTTGGTTTTCTGTATATCGTTCCCACTCATATTCCTTGCACTGTACACTGCTCTCAACTCTCTTCTCTACTGTCTTCTCTCTACTCTACTGTATACTATGTCTGCACTTAATACTCTCGCTACTCCAATCCACTCTACTCTCTACTCTCTATTCTTCTCTACTCTACTCTCTACTCTATTCCTCTACTCTACTCTTTATTATCTATTCCATTCTACTCTTCTCTATCCTGTACTCTACTCTCTGCTCTCCGCTACTCTCCACTTTCTACTCTCTACTCTACTATACTGTCTATTCTAGACTACTCTACTCCACTGTAGTCTACTCGGGATATGTCTTTATTCGGGCGTACAGACGGTACAGAGGGATAATTCTTCGTCTCAAAGACCTAAAGGCTAAAACACACTGTTTCTCATCTCTGTTTGTTTTCAAATAATGGATCATTGTTGTTTTTTTTACCTGCCACCCCCCCATTTTTCGGTTCCAGTGTTCACATCCTATTGGAGGTTTCATACACACGAATGTCAATTTCATCAATATTCCTTCGTAACGAGGGCGGATCTGCGCTGGCTACTCTTGTTTGTCCTGATTATTGTGGTATTCTTTCATTTTGCACGGTTGCAGGCATCCCAACCACTGTGGATTACCACAAGCTTATTTTGGAAATCCAGGTGCGTTATCCATTGAATTCTGAAGTCTCTGTGGTGCCCGATGAATCACTGGAAAAGACCAGACCGCATGCAAAGTTCTCTCATTATCCCATCTTTCCCTTGTGAATCCTGAAGTCTCTGTGGTGCCTGATGAATCAATGGAAAAGACCAGTCCTCATAAGAAGTTCTCTCATTATTCCATCTTTCCCTTGTGACAGGAGCACCTCTATACTGCACAAGACTGGATGGATCTTTTGCAATTCCTCTCGAGGTTTCGTATAGTTTCTGTCTGTGTTTTGCAGAATAGTGCTATCCAAGTGCATGAGTTGAAGCTTACTCCTCAAGGTCCTCGTGCCGTGGGTGACGCATGCCCATCTTCTGAAAGAAAATCTGCAGCATACATCTAGCATCATTTTTGTATGTTTGTCCTGCAGTACCCGGGTGAGGTCCTGCAATCTTCTGAGAGAGAATCTGCAGCATAACACTAGCAGCACGTGTATGTCCGTTGTACAACCATAACATCCTCAGCAGATTGTTGAATCGTTGTCTAGACTAGACATTCTAGTATGTAGTATACCTCTGACGAACAGGAGCTGGAGGAGGAGTTTGTTATCAGTGTGGAAGATATGTGGTCATTGACACCTTGGTGCAGCAAAGCATGTTTTGCTGCTGTGCCTCAACAGCAATCCTGGCGTAACATTGCATTCTGAGTTGCCAACAACAAGTGGACACAGAAACACAAGCTACTATGTAGTATTCTGGAAGAAAAGCAACAACAATTCCTTCTTACTCACACGAAGCAACGACAAATTGTTTTGTGTTGCAAACACCATTGCATGGCAAAGACCAATCTTCCAGATACGGCTGAGTGCGAAATGCATGATTGGATTGCGAAAAGCAAAATGCGAAGGCAGTGAGAAACAAGTATGAAACAAGTAGAACTTTGGCCGGCTGGTTTGCTGATTTGAATAGACCGGATTACATTCATGTTACAGAAAACGTCCCATCATTCTGCCATCATCTGTTGAGTCCTTTGTTAGCCAATCCCAAAAAAAGGTGTAAAAAGTCTGTCAGATAAGATCCCAGAAGTGTGCCGGCTCTTTAAGATACAGAATGAGTCTTTGGAGCCGATGATGTACGGCAATGTGCATGGGTAATCGGTGATAGAGGCTAGTTGAGGGGTGGGTTGCTGATTTGAAGTAAATGGATTACTTCAATGGACAGAAAAAATCATTCTGCCATTTGCTGTGAGTCCTTTGTGCGCCGATCCCAAAAGAAGGTGTAAAAAGTCTGTCAGATAGGGTCCCAGAAGTGTGCCGGCTAAGATACAGAACGAGTCTTCTGAGCGGATGATGTATGGCAATATGCGTGGGTAAGAAGTGATAGAGGCTAGTTGAGGGGTGGGTGATCAAGCGGCCCGACGTGACCGATCCACCAGAACGATGTCGTAGTGTTGAATGCTGGCCTCCGACTGAGCTACCTGTGCTGGGGACCGTGACTCGGACCAACCTGCGCATGATGTTCAAAAGAGAATTAATGTACATGCATGATGTACCGAAAAGAATTAATGTAGGTGCATGCTGTACAGAAAAGAATTAATGCAGGTGCAGATATGTAAAACGCAATCGATTCTTATCCTCTTATCTTTAGTTCATGTGCAAGTAGGGGAAGGCTGTGGCCTTCTGAATACCCCATTGTATTATTGGGGAGGGGTGAGTAAACACATACTTTCATCAAGTATATGTGGACGGTATGGTGCTCGCCACACAAAGGTGAGCTCATAGTATTGGAAATGAATGAGCGCAACACAGAAAAGAGGATTATTATTTGTGATCTTACTAATAGGGGCCTGACTGCAGCTGTGCGCATGTCAATCCTTTCTATAAACAGGATTTCAAGGAAGGAAAGGTGGACACATCGTTCATCCTGAAGCATGAGGCAGAGCTCTCAACGGTGAGCATGCCACTCCTTTCACTCTACTCTGCTGATACGGCAATTGCCTATCTGGGATCAACTTAATACACTTATCCGTCTTGTCAGATGCCTTTCTGCGTAAACCACAATGTTATTGATCTCCCACTCATTTTTTACTATTAGAAATTAAATCCTTTGTTAAAGGCTGAAGCTGTGAGTGCAACTGTTAGGCAGAGATCTGTGCAGCCGACGGAAGGTTAACCGACGCCCCAATTTTCACCCCCATTCATAAGAAAACCAAAGGGCCATTTTATTCATACTTCAGGTTGTGAAGGTTACCCTAGGGGTGAAAAGTGGGGGTACCTGTTAACCATTTGTGGTGCAGCCTGGAGTTAGTGAATGTGATGTGCTGGTGTGACACCCAACAAACATGTTGGTCAAGGCTGACATGGAGAAATAAAAACATGTTCTGCATTTGCATTGGCCACTGGTGTGCAGATCAGCCGGTGTGTTTATCCAATATGGAGCAGGTGTGGTCAAAGCGCAACAGACTCACAACTACGAACATATGAACTGATTGCATGCGACGAGAAAGAGAGATGCAAATGACGGAAACGTTCCTTCAGCTAGAGCCAAACTGGGCTTGTGTGTGTGTGTGTGTGTGTGTGTGTGTGTGTGTGTGTGTGTGTGTGTGTGTGTGTGTGTGTGNGTGTGTGTGTGAGAGAGAGAGAGAGAGAGAGAGAGAGAGAGAGAGAGAGAGAGAGAGAGAGAGAGAATGTATATTACCTCTGAGGAAGATCAATGTTGATGGATGATTGGCCACTGTGCAGTAAGGATGGGTGTCCATTTAGTCATTAATGTGAAGAATGTGCGAGTTCTAATCAATCAATTGATTTCTGTGAGTGAGCTTGGAGCTGTTATCAGTCTATTGATCCATGTGAACGTTCTGTAGGTGTTGGAGATTTGGAACTACTGACTGCCTGCAGTTGAGGTACTAGGGAGACGCTGCCCAGCCATGTACTGACAGATGTCTTGGCTCGTGCACTATCCCAAATATATTGACCCAGTAGGCCCCACACTGATCCCTACTTGGCCTCCTGCATTAGTAGGAACGAACCAGTGTGGTGGAGGCCTGCTGCACTGATACGGGGCTTGGTGAAGGTCATGACCTTGCAGCAGTGAGGAAGCCGTGTGAGGAATGTGTCCTCAGGGGCCCTTAGACAACATGCATATGTTCTGTGGCCCCCAGCAAGCCTTGTGCCCTCCCTAAGTGAAGGCAGGCCTGAATATCCACGAGAGGCCCTTATCTCAGCATTTTCCAATATGGGTCTCAGACAGTTGCTGCGCGACAGTTGGTTGAAGAGCAACCTGGGCCTTACCCTGGGCTCTTCCAGACGGAGCAACTGCGCCCAGGGCCCGGGTAGTTGTGCCCGGGCACACACATTGAGAAGCCGACACTTCACGAAGTGGCCACGGGTCAACGAGAAAGCAGCCTGTTGTCATATCTACCCCGTGGGCCAGTGCAAATGCAGCAAACATTCAAAGCCTGTAAAGTTCTGTGCGTACCCAACTAGAAAGGGCCCAGGCCCGTAGCTGTCAAAGCTGGCCTGGGCCCCAGACATTGGGGCCCGACCGGAAGCTACTGGAAACTTCCATGGCCACGCCCACACAGTCCAGCAGCAGCAACCTCTCCC